CACAGTAATACCAGACCAAGGGGCGGGCGTTGGTCCCACTCGCGTATTTATTACCCGAAGACTGCCACGCCCTTCCAGGCGCTCCAGGGCGCCAGCACCCTGTGTGGGCGGCCGAGGTGTGGGCGGCCGAGGTGTGGGCGGCAGGGATGGGGGCAGAGAGTTAATTGTACCATACCCCCGCCCCCGCCCCGACCAATACTAAGGGGAAAAGTTAGCAGCCTGGCGTGTCGGCGGCGGCGGTGGTGCCGGGGGAAGCCACAATACTCCGCCATTATATTCACATTAGACCACAATGCATTCTTGCCGCCTCTCCTGTGTGGGGGTAATGGCCACTTCCTCCCTCGACCGTGATATGTCTGTGTGTCTGTCTGTCTCTCAGGTCGGCGTTCAGTCCCCGACCGTCCAAGTGGTTGGGCACCATTCCTTCCCCCCGTCCCATCCCAGATCTTTATCCTGACCCCTTCCCAGTGTTATGTAGTCGTGATGGCTTGGTGCTTTTCCCTGATAATTCCGTTGCCCCTCTGTCTCTCTCTCTCTCTCTCTCTCTCTCTCTCTCTCTCTCTCTCTCTCTCTCTCTCTCTCTCTCTCTCTCTTTCCTTCTCCTCCTCTCTCTCTCTTCCCCTTCTTTTTCTCTCTCTTTTTCTCTCTCCCTCTCTCTTCCTCTCTCTCTCTTTCTCTCTCTATCCCTTCTAAACTCTCCTATTCCTCTCCTCCACCTCAGCTCTCACACTTCCTCTCACCATCACCACATTCACCATCATCACAGCCAGCATCACCATAACCAGAATCATCACTATCATCATTACCCTCCCAGAACGACCTTTGTCTTACTGTTATTTAGCAACATGCGGGCTAGCGAGGCCCAGAGAGAGGGAGAATACCATCTGAAATACAAAGACAATTGTTATAATGTTTTCCTCCTCCAAGTTGTGGAAGTTGGAGGTTAGGTAAAGGGGAGGGGTTGGAGGGGGGCTTGGAGGAGGAGGGGCTTGGAGGGGGAGGGGGCTAAGCGGGGAGGGGTTGGAGGGAAGGGGTTGGAGGGGGGCTATAATGAGACTGTGCCACATTTAGTAACTATAATGAGACTAACAACACCTCCCTCTGATGTTACGTTCAAAATTCCCACTCAAACGGCACATTGGTCATCATTCCTGTCACGCAGTGACGGACGTGTGGGTCCCCAAGACGGGCGAGGAGTGGTGTGGGTCCCCAAGACGGGCGTGGAGTGGTGTGGGTCCCCAAGACGGGCGTGGAGTGGTGTGGGTCCCCAAGACGGGCGTGGAGTGGTGTGGGTCCCCAAGACGGGCGAGGAGTGGCGTGGGTCCCCTAGACGGGCGTGGAGTGGAAGCCTCCAACCAGCACAGCAACACACACTTGGGGTGCTCAGGACCCTCCGTGACCACCTTGTAGTAACTTCACAATCACTTAGTCTTCAGTCTCCAAACTCTGGGGACAGGACCCGTAGTCCCTCGGCTGGACTTGGACTGACTTGACGGGGCCCCGGAAGCGTGTTGAGAGTACACGAACTCTGTGACTGAAGGTTCCTTGCTGCTACGACCCCTCTGTGTCGCAGGGTCTCGTCAGCACCACAGATAACCTCAAATACACAAGACGCCTCCTTCCACTCCCTCTCTAAACTCTCATGGATAAATAAATCATCCACTGGATGCAAGAGAGCCGGTCGGCCGAGCGGACAGCACGCTGGACTTGTGATTCTGTGGTCCCGGGTTCGATCCCGGGCGCCGGAGAGAAACAATGAGCAAAGTTTCTTTCACCGTTTGCCCCTGTTACCTAGCAATAAAATAGGTACCTGGGTGTTAGTCAGCTGTCACGGGCTGCTTCCTGGGGGGTGGAGGCCTGGTCGAGGACCGGGCCGCGGGGACACTAAAAAGCCCCGAAATCATCTCAAGATAACCTCAAGATAACCTAACTTATCATCGACAAAGGAGTAATGAAAAACTGTTAGCATGTATACTTATACATTTCCTGACACCAATGAGTGCAAAATTCGCAATAAAATAATAACATTCGCAACATAATGACTGACAAGAAGAGCTGAGGTGTGCAGCAGCAGCAGCAGCAGCAGCAGCAGCAGCAGCAGCAGCAGCAGCAGCAGCAGCAGCAGCAACCTTCACTACACAAACACTCTCGTTACTTTACTGACCTTAACGAGTCGAGTCGCTTCGTTACTCTCGTCATCAGAGCAACAACTTTAAATAGTCACAAAGACATCAAACATCACATATATATAAACACAATAAATGAGGCACAGTCTCATTATAGTCACTAAATGTGGCACAGTCTCATTATAGTCACTAAATGTGGCACAGTCTCATTATAGTCACTAAATGTGGCACAGTCTCATTATAGTCACTAAATGTGGCACAGTCTCATTATAGTCACTAAATGTGGCACAGTCTCATTATAGTCACTAAATGTGGCACAGTCTCATTATAGTCACTAAATGTGGCACAGTCTCATTATAGTCACTAAATGTGGCACAGTCTCATTATAGTCACTAAATGAGGCACAGTCTCATTATAGTCACTAAATGTGGCACAGTCTCATTATAGTCACTAAATGTGGCACAGTCTCATTATAGTCACTAAATGTGGCACAGTCTCATTATAGTCACTAAATGTGGCACAGTCTCATTATAGTCACTAAATGTGGCACAGTCTCATTATAGTCACTAAATGTGGCACAGTCTCATTATAGTCACTAAATGTGGCACAGTCTCATTATAGTCACTAAATGTGGCACAGTCTCATTATAGTCACTAAATGTGGCATAGTCTCATTATAGTCACTAAATGTGGCACAGTCTCATTATAGTCACTAAATGTGGCATAGTCTCATTATAGTCACTAAATGTGGCACAGTCTCCACTAAATGTGGCACAGTTATTGTAATTACTAAATGTGGCACAGTCATTGTAATTACTAAATGTGGCACAGTCATTGTAATTACTAAGTGTGGCACAGTTATTGTAATTACTAAAAGTGGCACAGTCATTGTAATTACTAAATGTGGCACAGTTATTGTAATTACTAAATGTGGCACAGTCATTGTAATTATTAAATGTGGCACAGTCATTGTAATTACTAAATGTGGCACAGTCATTGTAATTACTAAATGTGGCACAGTCATTGTAATTACTAAATGTGGCACAGTCATTATAATTATTAAATGTGGCACAGTCATTGTAATTACTAAATGTGGCACAGTCATTGTAATTACTAAATGTGGCACAGTCATTGTAATTACTAAATGTGGCACAATCATTATAATTACTAAATGTGGCACAGTCATTGTAATTACTAAATGTGGCACAGTCATTGTAATTACTAAATGTGGCACAGTCATTGTAATTACTAAATGTGGCACAGTCATTGTAATTACTAAATGTGGCACAATCATTGTAATTACTAAATATGGCACAGTCATTATAATTACTAAATGTGGCACAGTCATTGTAATTACTAAATGTGGCACAGTCATTGTAATTACTAAATGTGGCACAATCATTGTAATTACTAAATGTGGCACATTCATTATAATTACTAAATGTGGCACAGTCATTGTAATTACTAAATGTGGCACAATTATTGTAATTACTAAATGTGGCACAATCATTATAATTACTAAATGTGGCACAGTCATTATAATTACTAAATGTGGCACAGTCATTATAATTACTAAATGTGGCACAGTCATTGTAATTACTAAATGTGGCACAATCAATGTAATTACTAAATGTGGCACAGTCATTATAATTACTAAATGTGGCACAGTCATTATAATTACTAAATGTGGCATAGTCTCGTTATGACGATCGTTCCTCAAAGCTGTCTCTCGGTAGCTAGTTTATTCTCTAGTTATCCATCATGAACTCACAGGAACTAACATGTGCACTTTGCACGATACTAAGCTGCAAACTCTAGGCACTTTTCCCACCCTAATCACCAGTTCACTAACCGACATCTGTAACAATCCCTCACTGAGGAATCCTCAGCCTCTTCACTGTTAACACCACATAAATATTCAGTGTACACAAGAGTCTCTCGTGTCAAGGTTTATGTGGTCTCTCTCTGGCGTGGTGCCGTCTTGTGGTAATTACTTACTCGCCTCAAAGTCTAGTGCAACTTCTCGCTCATTGTGTAGCTGTTGGGGTAGAGGCTGAGAGGGCAGCGGTGAGGCGTGTGTACCTTGGTGTACCTTGGTGTACCCTGGCGTACCCCCTTGAATGATTAACCGTATAATGTCATTTGATATTGTATGTTCTGTGGCCTAAACTTGGCATAGATAAAGAGTTGATCACATAACCAGAATGCACTCGACCAGGGGTTGAATGAGTTCATACTCTGCCATGCTTTTGTAGAGTGGTGGTACAGTGGTACAGCACTCAGCTTTGTGGTGTAGTGGTACAGCGGTACTCTTCCCTTCAATCTTGGCCCCCTTGACAAAACTAATCGCTCTATAATTTTTGTTTTTTAATATGCATGAATAAGAAACAGTTTATGCCTTGTAATATGCCTTTTTCTTCGTATGCCTCGACACACTGGAGATATATGTTGACCAGACCACATACTAGAAGGTGAAGGGACGACGACGTTTCCGTCCGTCCTGGACCATTCTCAAGTAGATTGTCAATCGACTTAAGAATGGTCCAGGACGGACCGATGACAATCGACTTAAGAATGGTCCAGGACGGACAGAAACGTCGTCGTCCCTTCACCTTCTAGTGTGTGGTCTGGTCAACATACTTTAGCCACGTTATTGTGACTCATCGCCTGCACTGGAGATATATCCCGGCTCACCTCCACCGAACTACAGTACCGAGAATTTTTTGTGCAAACTTTACCCAAACCAGCAAAAAAATATTCTGCCTAAGTGTTAACCTCTGGAGCACGCAAGTCCATCAGACGCTCGTCACCACTGTGACTATGAGGGTATAATTTTCCGCAGCGTCGTCAAGTGCATGCAACACCACCAGTCCCAATGGCGGTCGCTATACAGGCTGTCAATTTGACAGTAATTATATGCGAGAGGAGCCGGCGAGGTTGGTGGAGAAGGGGAGAGTGCACGCCACTAATCTCTGGACCAGCATACAGGTTCCTCGCCTCACACGCCGCTAGGCGGGGCTCAGGGGCCAGATTCACGAAAGAACTTACGCAAGCACTTACGAACGTGTACATCTTTCCTCAATCTTTGACGGCTTTCGTTACATTTATTAAACAGTTTACAAGCAGGAAAACTTGCCAATCAACTGTTGTTATTGTTATAAACAGCCTCCTGGTGCTTCGGAGCACATTAACTGTTTAATAATTGTAAACAAAGCCGCCAAAGATTGAGAAAAGATGGAGAGGTTCGTAAGTGCTTGCGTAACTGCTTCGTGAATCTGGCCCCAGATGCCTGGAACGCTGTTCTAGGAGAATGACTGGGGGTGTAAGCCCCCCCCCCCCCCCGAGTCATTCTCTAAATTATGTTATTTAGTGCTAAAAGGCTAATAATGGGTCTCGACACGCAGGGGCAGTACCCAATAATTCACCAGAATTAAGTACAGGGATGTACTAAGGGAACTGACTAAAAAGCCTTTTATTAGTAATAGCTTTATTCAGTAAACGTACCAATACACAGGGAACTTGACTACGTTAATCAAAGTCAACAAATCTATAGAAAGCCATCCACAGCAGGAAGTGTTGCCGCCGCCCTGGTGTGTGAGAAGTGCCCCAACTTGCAGGGTCCAATGTTAACTATCTCAACACTTGCTGAATACCGACATTATATGCATACGTCACTTGTAGCGCCACAGGGACAGTGACTACATTTCCAACAGGTCACTCTAGTATTACACAACAACATGAAATGCCCACACAACAATGGGACAAAAATGCCCACACAACAATGGGACAAAAATGCACACACAACAATGGGACAAAAATGCACATACAACAATGGGACAAAAATGCACATACAACAATGGGACAAAAATGCACATACAACAATGGGACAAAAATGCACATACAACAATGGTATAAAAATGCACATACAACAATGGGACAAAAATGCACATACAACAATGGTATAAAAATGCACATACAACAATGGGACAAAAATGCACATACAACAATGGGACAAAATGCCCACACAACAATGGGACAAAAATGCCCACACAACAATGGGACAAAAATGCACACACAACAATGGGACAAAATGCCCACACAACAATGGGACAAAAATGCACATACAACAATGGGACAAAAATGCCCACACAACAATGGGACAAAAATGCCCACACAACAATGGGACAAAAATGCCCACACAACAATGGGACAAAAATGCCCACACAACAATGGGACAAAAATGCCCACACAACAATGGGACAAAAATGCCCACACAACAATGGGACAAAAATGCACAGTAACAAACCTCAGTAATCAACAGGACGCTAATTAACACAAGACACTGAGGCAATAATCACTGAATGAAAGGGAACTATCAGGGAGAAAGCGTCAAGCCATTACGAATATATAGCACTGGGAAGGGGTCAGGATAAAAGATCTGGGATAGGACGGTGGGGTAGGAATGGTGCCCAACCGCTTGTGGACGGTCGGGGATTGAACGCCGACCTGCATGAAGCTCTACCGTCGCTCTACCGTCCAGCCCAAGTGGCTGGTGGTAGGACACGGGACAGGACGTGCATCTAGCCCAAGTGGAAGGCTGCAGGTCACTGAGACAACATTAACTGAAGAAACACAGTCACCAAGGCGCTAAGATTTGCTGTGAAGGTTAATACTCTTACCCCTAGACACTCGGAGCCTCTCATTTATATCAATATAAATTAATATTGTTATATATCAGCATATTGTGCATATTTAGGCATTGGTTAGCTTAGGTGTTTTGGTTCTGTTGGCGATTATTTGTATTTGTAGTGCGTGGGTGAAGCATTTACAGCGTTGTGGTTCGAACACAAGTCGTCAGCGAAGCACTTGTTCGAGGAGTGTTCGAACGTACACACGGCTCAGTTGGGTGTATGTTCGTGTACGTAGGAGTCGTGTGTAAATTCAGAAAAAGGAGGAAATTCGACACTGGTTCGAGGCTCCAGGTGGCAGCCTCGGGATCCTTGTGGGTGCTGTAGTACTCCAAGTTGCAATTCTTTTGACCATGTCGTGGTGTAGTCAACTATAGCGCGCATCTGGGAACACCCAGCGCATGGGTTCGAACCCTCATCATGACTCCTGTGGATTTGTTTTGAACGTTGTGAGGCGGGACCCACAAGCTGTAGCTCAATCCTCAAGCACAATTAGA